TTTTACTGAGATATTGTTTTAATCAGTGAATTAGTGAGTGATTTAGTCAGTTTGTTAGTTAGTTAGTTAATTAATTAGTTAGTTACTTAGTTGATTAATTAGTTAGTTAATTTTTAGTTAGTTAGTGATTTAGTTATTTAATTTTTAGTTAGTTAATGATTTAGTGAATTTAGTTAGTTAATCAGTGAATTAGTGAGTAATTTATTTACTGAGATATTTTTTTAATTAGTTAATTAGTTTGTTATTGAATTATTAGTTAGTTAGTTAATTATTTAGTTAATTAGTTGGTTAATTTACTATTTTATTAGTATTATTTTATTTTATTACCATTTTTATTAGTTAGTTAGTCAATTAGTGACTTTAGTTACTTAGTTAGTGAATCAGTGAGTTCAATTAATTAATTAGTCAAGACGGCAAAAGAGAAGCAATCGAACAGACTGCAAAATAGTCGACCGATTAAAGTTCCTTTCTTTCTTCTATATAAAAACATCGCGTTTTATTTAACATCGAAACGCCGGGATTACTTTCCCGCCAGACCCCAGTTATAATAAAAAGTTCACCGCCGAGAATTGTAGCAGCTGTCGCGCGCTTTCCTAGCAGCGAATCTATCGAAAGCGTTAGGCGACGCGTGGCGCGCGGGGCGGCGACCAGTCGAATCAGCCGGCCGGCAAAAACATCTTGTAACAGAATCGTAGGCGAGGCCGCGCCGGGCGTCAACGCGTGCGGAAAAGGAGCGACACTTTCCGACGAGTGTCCGGCAAGACAACAGAACCACCACCCGCTGGTGGATCGTGCTTCCCCTGCAAACTAAGCGGACTCTCTGTGTCCCGAAATTTCCGACGATGTTACGTCGCTGTGCAGCAGCAGTTCTTTCGCCTAATACACCTTTGTTCAATTATCGGAAACACGAGATCCTCCCGCAACCACGGAATTTAAACGAGGACCGTTCGAGCAGGAGAAATTTCAACGCGCGCAGCGGCACAGCGCGCGGGTCCGAAAATCCAATTTTCGAATTTCTGTAATTGGACTAATTTTATTGTTCGCTGCAAAAATAATTCTTTATTCGAATAATCTGACAAATTCTTCATTCGAATAATTCGAAAAATTCTTTATTCGAATAAATTTCTATTCGAAGAATTCGAAATATCCTTTATTCGAATAATTCGAAATATTCTTTATTCGAATAAATTTCTATTCGAATAATTCGAATAATATTTTATTCGAATAAATTTTTATTCGAATAATTCGAAATATCCTTAATTCGAATAAATTTCTATTCGAAGAATTCGAAATATCCTTTATTCGAATAAATTTCTATTCGAATAATTCGAAATATTCTTAATTCGAATAAATTTCTATTCGAAGAATTCGAAATATCCTTTATTCGAATAAATTTCTATTCGAAGAATTCGAATAATTTGAACATTTCTTTATTCGAGTAATTCGAAAAATTCGTTATTCGAGCAGTTTATTCGAATAATTCGACAAAGTCTTTTTCATTCGAATAATTCGAAAAATTCGTTATTCGAACAGTTTATTCGAATAATTCGACAAATTCTTTCTTATTCGAATAATTCGACAAATTCTCTACCCGAATAATTCGAAAATTCTTTTTTCTATTCGAATAATTCGGTAGAAGTAATAAGAAAGAAATAGATCGATAAACCATGAAGAAAACACTTTATATTCGTTCATTGTTACTCAGAACGATTACTTTCCGCTTGAATTCCTGTACGAATCGTACTCGAATGAATTCTTTTCCGATTAAAATCCTGTTCGAATTGAATTCTTCATCGCACAAAATTCTCCTGCGAACCAAATTTTGTCTCGGACCACCATTTTCAAAATTAAATTCAACGACGAGACTGCGCCACAACCTTAAAAGCTCGCTAAAGCATTTTTGGCCACCACGGATCGCTGCGCCGCCGGAATCGCTGTGCGAAGTGGCAGTTCATCGTAATTGCAGCCAGTAAATCGTTTCAAGCAGACCGATTACGGGACGATCTTTTACGGGGCTGATGAATAATAATGATAGCACCGCTGGGCGTTAAAAACGGCCGTCCAAGGCCGTTCCCTCGTTACTTTTCGAGCGGGAGCCTCGCGCGGAAACGCTCCGTAACGATCGTAATCGTTCATAAAACACCGTCGTTGCAGTCGTTAATTAGCCGCGGAGAAAAATTGCCGGTCTCCCTCTCTCTCTCTCTCTCTCTCTCTCGCGCTGTGAAAAATCGCGGAGGTCTCTCGTGCCGGGGACGCAGCGATTTGAATAATTCTCCGGCCAGCACGGCTGAACGGGACGCGTTCTGATGATCCGTTGTCGTCGCCGACGCTTTATAACTATCCGGCTGCGGCCGCGGCCGGCCCGCTAAACGCAACCTGCGGTCTATCGATTCCGTAATTTATACGCCCAGCGATCCCTCATCCGCGTGCCGCGCGCACCCGATAATCGCGCGACGTGGTCCTTCATTTTTCAAAATAATACACGCTCGAATTATTCGAATAAAGAATTCTTCGAATTATTCGAATAGAAATTTATTCGAATCATTCGAATATTTTGTTTGAATGAAGAATTTTTCGAGTTATTTGAATGAAGAATTTTTCGAATTATTCAAATAAATTATTCGAATAACGAATTTTTCTAATTATTCGAATTATTTCGAATTACTCGAATAAAGAATTTTTCGGATTATACGAATGTAGAATATTCGAATTGTTCGAATAGAAATTTATTCGAATAAAGGATATTTCGAATTCTTCGAATAGAAATTTATTCGAATAAATAATATTTCGAATTATTCGAATAGAAATTTATTCGAATACAGGATATTTCGAATTATTCGAATAGAAATTTATTCGAATACAGGATATTTCGAATTATTCGAATAGAAATTTATTCAAATAAAATATTATTCGAATTATTCGAATAGAAATTTATTCGAATAAAGGATATTTCGAATTCTTCGAATAGAAATGTATTCGAATAAAGATTATTTCGAATAGAAATTTTGTACTTGATATATTATTTTGTGCTTGATATTACTTTTTGCTTATTACTTTTATTATTTATTATTATTATTATTACTATTATTATTATTACTATTATTATTATTATTACTATTATTATTATTTATTACTATCAAAAGAAGAAACAAAACACTGCCCATCCACAACGTACTTCTCAAAAATCGTCCCAGCACCGACTGCGCTTCACACCCAAGAACCGTCCATTATTTCTCGCGCAGCGCATCGTCGTCGCCTGCGCTCAACCGGAAGAAAAGAAAGAAACAGCGCCGCGGCGTTTTCTGCGGCGGCGACGAGAAAAACGAGCGCCAGGAAAATCGGCCGCGCGAGCGAGCAAGAGAGTGAGTGGCGCGACAGTGATTGTCATAGCGACACGGCTAGCAAAAAAGTCGGAGCTTGTTTGAATAATTCGCCAGTTTGCAGGATGAACACGCCGCCGGCGGGCCCCTTCGGTAGTCTGGTTTTCTGTTCTCCCGGTTGGAAAGTGTCGCGCTGTTCTACCGTCGACATTCCCGACACATTGTCCCGGCGACGTTTACGAGCCTCTTATACGACAGTTGCGTCACCGGTTCGAGCACGGTTTCACGACACCCCATCTGCTTTTTACGATCCCGATGGATGCCATTTTGCTAACAATTATTGCTCGCTCGGAGAGACGGGGGGAAGGGGTGAGGAGTGGGGGCATTTTTAGTCCGCGGCGGAACGCGCGCGCGCGGAATGTTCCCGCGCACCGCGGCGCGTTTTACAACGACAAAAAATGTCAACAGGTGGTCCAATGTATGAACTTTCAGACAAGCTATTCACTTTGAAAAATCCTGCACTAATAATCCTAGAAAAAATTCTCAAAGATCGCCTTTTTAAGAAATTTCGTCCGCCCAAATATCGAAAAAAGATTGTGACATGTGGGAATATAAAAAATCCTATCACACAGGCCTTCCTCAATATTTTGTTACAAAAAATGTCTACAGGTGGTCCATTATATGCACTTTCAGACAAGCTATTCACTTTGAA